TCTTGCGAAATCTTAAGAAAACCATGCGTTTTTCAAGATTTTCACAACATGCTATTAAACGGGCTTCGCGCGCGCATGTCAAAATCTGTCGAACGCCCTTGCGCGTGTGCCGTCGCGAGAATCCTGTGCAAAAAATGGGACGAAGTGCAGACGCGCGCGTCGTCGCGCACGTATGCCGAATTCCTTCAAAACCCATCGGTTTCGGAAGGATTTCAAAATCGTGTGCCCAAAAAACATACAAAAACCCAAGGTTTTGCAACACGGATTTTCAACAAAAGCGTGCGCGCGCGCTCTTGCGTCGTCGTCGTCGTCGTTGTCGTCGCCGTCCTCCCTCCTCCCGCGTCGTCGTCGTCGTCTACGTCGTCCTCTGTGTTTCCTCGTGTTCGTCGTCGTCGTCCTCTTTGGCGTCGTGGTCGTTTCCGTCGTCGTCCTCTTTGGCGTCGTGGTCGTTTCCGTCGTCGTTGTCGCCGTGGTCGTCCTTTCTCCTCCTCCCTCGTCGTCGTCGTCGTCCGTCGTCGGCGTCTCGTCGTCGTCCCTCCTATTTCGTCGCGTTCGTCGTCGTCGTCGTCGTCGTCGTCTTCCCTCCTCCCTCGTCGTTGTCGTCGTCGGCGTCGCCGTCCTTCCTCCTTTCGTCGTTCGCGTCGTCGCCGTCCTCCCTCCTCCCTCGTCGTTGTCGTCGCTGTCGTCGTTGTCGCCGTCGTCGTCCTTCCTCCTCCCTCGTCGTCGTCTTCGTTGGCGTCGTCGTCGTCTTCGTCGTCGTCGGCGTCGTTGTCGTCGTCGAAGTCGTCGGAGACGTCGTCGGTGTCGTCGTAGTCGTTGTCGTCGGTGTCGTCGTAGTCGGTCTCAAGAGGTTTTGCAAACAAGTTGTGGGTGGGTGGGTGGGATGTTTGCGCGAGCAGTGGAAATGACGACTTCAAGTTCAGCAGAGTGGATTGCACCACATAAATTGCGCCACTTCCATTGAATCACATAGCCATGATTTGAACCGCATAGGTTGCACAATATGTGTTGCACTACATCTGTCGCATCTCATGTATACTTCAGCTATTGCAACACATAGGTTGCACGACATGTGTTGCATTACAGCGGGTGCACAATTTACATCGCACCACATCTATTTCGCTACATAGCTTGCACCGCATGTATTGCACCGCATATCTTGCAACACATCGATTGCACAACGTATATACATATCTGTGTATATATAGAAACACGTTGCACCACATCGAGTGCGCCACTTAGACTTCACCACGTATTTTGCACCACATAGGCTGCAACACGTATATTGTACCACATCGATTGCACCACAATTATTGCACCACCTTGAGTGCGCTACTTAGACTGAGCCACATAGCTTGCACTATAAATGTATATATATATATGTATATATATTCAAACGCATAGATTGCACAACATGTATGGCACCACATAGACCACATAGATAGCCCCCTGTGTATATTCTCTTTTCTAAAAAGAGAATAGACTCTGCCCCCCCCGGCGTCATCCGCCCCCCTTTCGGTATGTAAGTCATATATGATTCTGACCACATGTCTATCTTGAATATGAATTTACACTATCCCAGGCCGGCCGGTACCAGTTCCCCTGAGGTCCCCTTATAAAAAAACAATACGCGGGGACATCTTTTTGTTCTAACATAAGACTTTTTCATGAATCCCTTGCAAAAAATGTGACGAAGTGCACACGCGCGCGTCGTCGCGCGCGCATGCCGAAATCCTTCAAAAACCTTCGGTGTCGGAAGGATTTCGCAATCGAGTTTCCAAAAAACATACCAAACCACAGGGTTTCGCAACACTGATTTGCTGAAAAAAACTTACGCGCGAGCTCTTGCGAAATCTTAAGAAAACCAAAGGTTTTTCAAGATTTTCACACAATGCTCCCAAACGGGCTTCGCGCGCGCGCATGTCGAAACCTGTCGAACGCCCTTGCGCGTGTGCCGTCGCGAGAGTCTTTTGCGAAAGATGGGACGAAGTGCAGACGCGCGCGTCGTCGCGCGCGTATGCCGAAATCCTTCGAAACCCAACGGCTTCGGAAGGATGTCAACATCGTGTGTCCAAATGACATACAAAAACACAAGGTTTCGCAACACGGATTTTCCACAAAAGCGTGCGCGCGCGCTCTTGCGTCGTCGTCGTCGTCGTCGTCGCCGTCCTCCCTCCTCCCGCGTCGTCGTCGTCGTCGCCTACGTCGTCCTCTATCTTTCCTCGTGTTCGTCGTCGTCCTCCTCTGGCGTCGTGGTCGTTTCCGTCGTCGTTGTCGCCGTGGTCGTCCTTCCTCCTCCTCCCGCGTCGTCGTCGTCGTCGTCCGTCGTCGGCGTCTCGTCGTCGTCCCTCCTATTTCGTCGCCGTCGTCGTCGTCGCGTCGTCGTTGTTCGTCGTCGTCGTCTTCCCTCCTCCCTCGTCGTTGTCGTCGTCGGCGTCGCCGTCCTTCCTCCTTCTTCGTCGTTCGCGTCGTCGCCGTCCTCCCTCCTCCCTCGTCGTTGTCGTTGTCGTCGTTGTCGCCGTCGTCGTCCTCCCTCCTCCCTCGTCGTCGTCTTCGATTGCGACGGCGTCGTCGTCTTCGTCGTCGTCGGCGTCGGCGTCGTCGTCGACGTCGGCGTCGTCGTCGTCGCTGTCGTCGTCGTCGTCGGCGTCGTTGACGTCGTCGTCGTCGGTGTCGTCGTCGGCGTCGTCATCGTCGTCGTCGTTGTCGTCGTCGTCGGCGTCGGCGTCGTCGTCGTCGTCGTCGTCGGTGTCGTCGTCGTAGTCGTCGTCGAAGTCGTTGGAGACGTCGTCGGTGTCGTCGTAGTCGTTGTCGGCGGCGTCGTCGTCGTTGTCGCTATCGTCGTCGGCGTCGCTGTCGTTGCCAAGTGCCATTTGGTACCCACCGTCACGGTCTTACGAGATTTTGCAACCAAGTTGCGGTTGGGTGGGTGGGATGTTTGCGCGAGCAGTGGAGTGGACAACTCACTGCGAATGTGAGTTTGTACGCGTTTTCCGCAGAAGGGGAGGCCTTCGGACAACACGGTGCTTTCTGTTGCATCCGTAGTCGCTCCTTTTTGTTCAGGAAGGCCCGCCCGGGCCGCTCGTTCTGGCGCCACGCAGTTCTCTCAGGACAGACTGCACTTTCTGTACTCCGTCCTTCGAGACATTGTTGCCTTCAGCTCCCCGGCCCGTGAGCCGGTCTGCCATTGTCATTTTGAGGGAAATCAGTGCGAGCCAATTTCGGACACGGGCTGCAAGCACATCGAACGCATTCTGACACGACAGTTGGAGTTAGCCCAGAGCCAGCTCAGTGCATCGGTGACGGTGACGTTCAGCATCAGTCTCGCCTTCAGTTTCAGCTTGGTCTTTTTCTTGGCCGGACTTCTCGTGGGTCGGTGCACCTCGCGACACACTCCGACGCCCACTTCATCGGCCCCCATCTTCGAGCAGGCGACAACCCGTGTGAGGAGTGGTCCGGCGACCCCAGCATCCTTGCGGCTCGCTGATCAACAATGAGTGCTTTGGAAATCAAAGAAAGGCAAATCCTGGTGCGCTACGATGACGATGCTCACTTTACCTGGCATCATCGTCTATTGCTCGTTCGGATCTCTTCGGGCAGGTGGGTGGTCCTCACCCCGACAGGTGACTTGCAGATCCTGGACACCGCCACGGTCAGGTTTGAGCCGCTGGCTCGGGGCAGACCCGTGCCAGAGAGGTGTCGGAACGACTGCTTCTTTTTCGACCCGATCCCTATCAGGGAACTCAGCGAGGCCATTGCACGCGCGAAGGTGCTGGCCGACATCGCTGGGGAAGACATCGAGGTGGATGGCGCCGAGGTCTGGGTGGTCTCTGACACGTCTCACCCGAGGTTCGGGGAGCAGGTGGGGCCCGGCATCCTGGATGACGCTGGGCGGGCCCTGCTCCGGGACACCAAGGGGGTGGTTCAGCTCGACGCCAACGACGCCTCGTCGGAGGTGCACGTGGAGCGCGTTCACCAGAACGACCTGGCGGACTGGAAGAGTCGGGTCGGCGGTGGAGGCGACCTGCGGCTCCTCGGCACCTTCCGTACGGCAGGAGGCAAGCGTTTCCTCCAGGCGAAGGACGCAGTGGGCAAGCTCGAGGAGACGAAGTTTGACGACTTCCCGTTTGCTGACCCGCGTGCGGTCAAATAGTACCTGGACGGGATCCTGGAGACCACCGATGGCTCGTTCGACAGCTACCATCAGAACTGGTGCGTGGCGGCCGGGGTCTCGCCCAATAGTGGGATCGCGCATGACCATCGTATCATCTTGGAGGCGCTGCGCTTGGGGCTCACCTATGATCAGTACAACCTGGCAAACTCTGCCATGGGTGAGCAGCTCGTCAGGAGGCTCATCCAGCATGAGCTTGCGGTGGAGAAGGACGCGAAGCACCCCGACTACAGCGGGCCCGGCTACATGTTGGCGGGCTCGACTGAGGACAAGGGGCGCGTGGCTGTTCCCAAGTTCACCAGGTGGGTCGCCGAGAAGCAGCACCAGCGGGCCTTTACCCTCAAGCAGTCGCGTCTACTTCGAGAGGAGCGGGCCGCCGAGGACAAGAGGCGTGGTGGCGGCCAGAAAGGTTTCAAGGGCGCCTCCAAGGGGAACAAGGGCGACGCCGCCGACGGCGGCAAGGGAGGGCAGGGCTAGCAGCCTTCGCCGCCCACGCGGGACCGAGTACCTGGTCGGTCTTGCCGTCGCTAACTTCGTACAGGTAGGAGCCTCCAGTCTGTTGCTTCGGGCTCCGAGTTTTGTATGCCGTGGTCTTCGCGATCATGGTCGGCGGCGGCATGGTGATCCTCTTCCCTTGCCAGTTCGCCTGGTGAAGGGCCCCCTCGGGGGCTCCGGACGCCGGTGGCGAGGAATGCGTGGGCAACCTGGACATCAAGACCAGCGTCTTGTCGAGTCGGTTCGCTCACTCAACTTCCTGTATCGCACCAGAGTATGTTCAGACGAGAACTGCCTATACCGTGGCAGTTCGGGCAAGGCCTCTTCTTCACAGATGTCCATCCTGAAGTCTCTGGATGACCGCATCTCTCTCTACGGCGAACGGCCGCGAGACCTGACCCCGCTGAGCGCGCTCAACGAAGTGTGCAAAGCGAAAGACCTGTACACGCAGGAGCCACAACACATGGCGCCGTACCTTCCTGACAAGCTGAAGGTGACGAAGGGCGCCACCACCCCGCTCCCTTTAGAGTCCGTGCTCCCTGCCGGCGCTCTGCGACTGGCGACGGACTTCAAGAAACACGCGTTGAAGAGTGAGAGTGAGCTTGAGGCAGATCGTTTGAGAGGCGTCTCTGTCACCCCGTACTGGTGTCCGGACCTGCGGCGCTCAAAGCAGTGCCGCCGCGAGCTGTTCGCCACGCTGTGCGACCGCCAGCTTCTCACCTTCAGGCGACGCATCTTTTCGAGGGTCTCAATCTTCTTCGTCTGGAAGAAGACAGGTATGACCAGGCTGATTGTGGACGCCCGCTCGACCAACGAGAAGTGCCGGATGCCCCCTCACACTGATCTGGGCACGATCGCCGCCTTGGCGGACGTGGACCTCAGCCTGGCCGAGCTCTCCGATATCGCGGACGCCGAGCTGAGCACCGAGGAGGAGGCCGAGCTTCTCAAGGGGCAGGGGGGGCTTTTCTCTCTCCCCTTCTCTGGGAGCTCTCTGGACGTGGTCGACGGCTTCTACCAGTTTGACAACTGGCGTATGGCGAGCTGGTTCGGGATGGATGATCCCGACGAGGCTGGCGTCTACGGAGTCACCGAGGTCTGGGATGACGACCTCGAGAAGATGGTGCCGCTGCAGCCCACTGACATCGTGTACCCCTGCTTCAGAGCGCTTAGCATGGGTTTTACGTGGGCTCTCTATTTTTGTCACTCAGCTGTGGAGCATATCGTCGCTGCCGGGGTCCCTGGAGGCGCTTCTCGCGCTGCTCGGGAGAAGCACCGGGCGCCGCGGGCCTCGTTTGCAAGCCCGATCACCTCGACCTACGTCGACAACGCTGCCCTGCTGTCTGCTAATACCAGTACTTCAGACCTACAGACTGTTCTTCATCAGTTCTCTGCGCGTGACATGCGCACACACGACATAGTAGAGCACACCTTTGCGCTAGAGCACTTGGGCGCCGTCTTCGACGGACATCGGCGTCTTCTGCATCACCAGCCGCGCCGAGTGTGGCGGGTGTACCTGGCCGGCAAAGAACTACTCCGACGTCGGCGACTTCGAGGTGAGGTCCTTCGAGTCTGGATCGGCCACGTGGTGCACCTCTTCATGCTCAACAGGCCGGCGTTGTCCTGTCTGTGGGCAGTCTACCAGTTCATCCAGCATGCACTCGAGCGGCGGTGCCGGGTGTGGGGCTCTGTGCGCCAGGAGATTAAAGTGATTCTGGGTCTAGTCTTCCTCTGCCAGCGCGACTTGAGTGCTCCACGGTTGCGGATGGCCTACTGCTCTGACTCCTCTGACTTGGGGTACTGCTTGGCGGTCACGAGCGCCTCGGATGCGGAGCTCAGGGAGGCGGCAGCTTATCACGAACGATGGCGTTTCATCGAGGATCGGTCGGACCCGCGGTGCGAGCTGGTCCCCTACCTCGAGCTCTGCGACAGCGCTGGCCTCTCGCCCCTGGGGGGCTCGCCAGAGCCGTGGCGTGAGGATCACGTGCCATCCGCCGTGGCTGCTCCTCCTCGCCCTCCCACTCAGCTGGAGCGCCAGTATCGGGAAGGAAGTGACAGGCTCGCCCCTGGAGGAGTTCGCCGAGCACTTCGAGAGCGCGTCCTGCGGGAGGATCCTCGTCAGGTGCCCGCACTTGGTCCCAACTGGGACCCGCCCGAGCGCTGGAAGACCCTCTTCGAGCGGAAGTGGAATGACCCAACTGAGCACATCAACACCAAGGAAGGCAGGGTGATGCTGGCGGGGCTTCGGCGTGCCTGCCGCAACCCGCGCTGCCACAAGAAGCGGCTCCTCTCCCTCTCCGACAGCCTGGTCGCCTGTTGCGCCTTTGATCGAGGGCGTGGGCGAGGCACGGAGAAGACCAACTGGGGCCTTCGCTATCTTGGCCAACGGGCAGCAGCTCTGCAGATCGCCTGCGACATCCAGTGGGCGACTCGACACCTCGAGGGAGTTCGCAACCCCACGGACGCGGGCTCTCGCCGTTTTGACAGAGGTGCTGACCCGACGGAGAGGGCACGCAACCTCGGCTTGGAGCGGGGCGGTCATGACATGGCTATCGTTCGCGCCTCCTGCCGGGTTCGCCCTTCCGGTGGCGCGTCAGGCGCGCTGGCCCGTCTTTTGCACTTGCCAGGCGTCGCTGCTGTACGAGCGGCGCCCGCTGTCTCGAGAAAAAAGAAGACGCACTTCGTCGTGCCTGAAGACACCCCCGCGGGTGCGTGTCCATCCTCCTCTACCTGCCCCTCTGGGACTCAGGCCCCCTCTCCGGGCTCATCAAGGAGGCCCTCACCATCGAGTACGGCGCCCCGCAGGACTTCTACGGGGCCTCCCACGGGCACTCCAAGGGCTTCAGCGTGTTCTTCGACTCCCGGCAGGACCTCCTCGGGGACTCCATCAAGGTGCTCACACGTCCCAGTCTTGGAGGCCTCCAAGCCCAAGGGCTACGATTTGAACCGTACGCTGCGCGTTAGGAGAGGGGCGATCTTTTTGGAGCTGTTCGCGGGCCGCGAGGGCCTCACCAGGGCCGTGGCCTCTCTAGGCGTTCCAAGTGGAGAAGGTATCGAGCTCTCGAAAGGCCCCGAGTATGACCTCTTGGACCCCGGCATCAGGCAGTACATCATCGGTCTCATTCAACGGGGCAAAGTTCTATGTGTGTGGTTGGGGACCCCTTGCAGTGCCTTCAGCATAGCGAGGCGAGGCGCTCGTAATCCAGAAGTTGCTCGGGAAAAGGACTGGCTGGGGGCCCAACATGCATGGTTTTCGGCAGAAGTTATTCGTGAATGTCTGAAATACAACGTGGCCTTTGTCTTGGAGAATCCTCTCACGTCTCGTCTCTGGGGCTTTGAGCCGATCATGGAAATCATGTCTTACTCACGCGTCTCAGTTGTTGAATTTCACGCTTGCGGTTTTGAGGGGACCATCAAGAAACCTACTCGGTTGATTGGCACTCTTCCTGGCCTGGAGCAGTTGTCTAAAAGATGTCCTGGCGGCCACGTTCACACGGTTGTGACGGGTAAGTTCTATCTCTGGAATGCTGACAAGCAGGCATATCGATGGACGCAAGCTTCTCGAGCCGCAGGAGTCTACGGCTCAAAGTTCTGCTTCAATGTAGCACGGCTGGTTCGGGCCCACGCACAGCGGCATCATATCTTCCCCTTTTCTCAAGATGCCACGGCTCGACACATCGTTAGCTCGGCCAGCCTCCAACAAGCGCACAATCCAAACCTCCGGCGTCGTCAGCGAAGGGGCTTTGACCAGTGGAAGTCGGCCCCGCACGTCGGCGACGAGCTCGACAGGGTCCCGGGCAGGCTCATCGCTTACGTCGGCCAGCAGTGGCGCGACCTTGCGCGCTCCCGCGCAGAGGCTCGGCGCTCGACGACAGCGTCTCGCGCGTCCGCCTGCTGCACGACACGGGCCTGCCCCTCTGCCTCGGAACCTGGTCGAGAACAGCGTCTCGGCCGCCACCCTGCACACCTACAAGGCGGAGGTCGGCGAGTTCGAGGCTTGGGCAGCTGGCAGGGTGCGCAGCCTCCGCACGCACGAGGCGGCAGACTCTGCGATGTCGGACTACTTCGAGTGGCTCTACGCCCAGAGAGAGCAGCCGCAGATTGGCAGGTGGGCCCTGTACGGCTACGCGCTGCTGAGGCTCTCGCATCTGGGCCGCGGAGGGCACGTCCTGCCCAGGGCCAAGGCAGCTCTTCGAGGTTGGATTCGCCAGATGCCCGGTCGCATTCGTGACCCTTGTCCCATCGAGGCGGCCTGGTTGATAGTTCAATGGCTTCTTCTCAAGAATCAAGCTTTCTACTTCTGGTGTGCCCTTGCTGTGGTGTTGCAAGTGGATACCTATGTCCGCCCGGGCGCCCTGATGGGCATCAAGCGAGAAGACCTGCTGCCCCCAATTCGCCAACGTGGCTCACGCTACACCGATTGGGGCTTCGTTCTCTCTCCCAGCACCCGAGCTGGCAAGACCAAGTCTGGCGAGCAAGATGACACGTTGGTCATTGGTATCCTCGACCGCACCTTTGTGAAGGATGTAGCCGCTTTCTTGCATGGGTCCGCTCACGATGGTGAGCGAGTCTTCCGCCACCTCACACTTCCGTCTTACGAGAAGTCCATCAAAGAAGCCTCAGAGGCGCTGGAGCTGGATGCCCTGAGGATTGTGCCGCATTGTTTCCGACACACTGGCCCCTCGACTGATGCCTATCTCAATGCCCTCAGCATCCAGCAGATTCAAGATCGTGGTAAATGGAAGTGCCCCGCCTCGGTGAGGCGATACGAGAAGCACGCAACTCTTCTACGCCAGTTGCACAAAATGACACCCGGCCAGCGGCGGGAGGCTATTGCTGCCGGTCGCCAACTCCCGGACCTGCTCAAGCACGCTTTTCGCCAGTATCGTTAACGTGCCGACCAGCTACCCCACCACCACCCTGGACATTATTATGCGTATGGGAGGTTTCTTTCACAGTGTGCCGACGCACACGCGAAGCGCTTCGAGTTTCTCTCTGACTTCGTTGTGGATGGATCTACGCTTCATCATGTCTGAAAACGAAGTTCCACAGCTTGATAGTGCGTCGGCTTTGCCCGTTTCCGCCGCTTCCTTGAAGGCCGCTTGAGACACTGTGCGAATGTGAGTTTGTACGCGTTTTCCGCAGAAGGGGAGGCCTTCGGACAACACGGTGCTTTCTGTTGCATCCGTAGTCGCTCCTTTTTGTTCACCTCCCTGTCCCCGCCTGCCACCCTTCTTTCTTTAGACGAGGTGCCTCCCCTAATGAGGGAGGTTTCTTTCACAGTGTGCCGACGCACACGCGAAGCGCTTCGAGTTTCTCTCTGACTTCGTTGTGGATGGATCTACGCTTCATCATGTCTGAAAACGAAGTTCCACAGCTTGATAGTGCGTCGGCTTTGCCCGTTTCCGCCGCTTCCTTGAAGGCCGCTTGAGACACTGTGCGAATAGAAATTAATTGCACCACATAGTTTGCAACAAATACTTTCCACACCATAGATTGCACAACCCCGATTGCACCACGTAGATTGCTATACATATATATATATATGTATTCCCAGAAACGCACTGTTTGGGGTGCACGCTGGCTAACATGTACTGTATGGTCTCGTCGGACGTGCACTTTCGACATCGGCACGTATTACCAGTATTTCCTTCTGCGTCCCACTCGGCGCGCCGCCGTCAGGTCGCGCAGCGCGAGTACAGCCAGGCCGTGAGCCGGTGGAACTGCTCACGGGTGCCGCAGGGGCCCGCGGCGGCGCTGTTGCGGGCGAAGGCCGCCAGCGGCCGCCGTCGTTTGCCGCTGGCGTCGCTGTCGTCGCCGTTGGCGTCGGAGGAGGGGGGCGGGGGCTGCTGCTTCACGCTCGGGTGCGTGCTTCACGCTCGGGCGCGCGTCTCACGCTCGAGTGCTCGGGGGGGGCCTCGAGGACGCATTGGTAACGAGCTTGGCTAAGGAATTCCAGGGGCTCCGGACAGCGATCTGGCCAGGAACTCGAGGGGGTATAGGTACAGCTGGCAGCAAGAGCCTGCAATTCAGGGTAGCAAAGGCCATCCTGACTGCCGGCAGGCGGACTCGCATCCAACAAAGCGCAATTCCAATTCCTGCTTCTCGGGCTCCCCCTCGGCTCTTCCGGTCCCTTCCTTGGCCACAAGGACCTTTGGAGGGCCACGCACGGCTACTTTGACGGCTGGTTCAGGCGGGGTGCCAACCTCCGTTGCGGCCCGTCTGGTTTTTTGCTTCGTTGAACTCGCTGCCACCTCGTGGTTACCAGCGAAATCCAGGGAATTCCTCCCTTGGCTCTTCGCTTTCCCTCTCATTCCCATCCCCCCTCCCCTCGCCTCGGGCCCGGATCGAGGACAGCCCGCACGAGCTGGAGGCGCTGAGGGCCCACGTGAAGTGTTGGCAGGGCGCGGTCAAGGATCGGCCTCCTCCGCCCTCGGACGTCCTCACGCGGCCAGAGGAGAGGACGTGGGCGAAGCACGCATCCGTATCCGCGGCCTCGCGGGCCTGGCCCCCGGGCCGCGACCCCGCGGATTTGGGGCGCCTTTTCGCCGATGCCCGCGCGGAGCGTATCCCTGTGACCGCGTATCCGCGGGATCGCGCCCCTGGAATCCAGACCGCGAGTGCGCGGATACGGATACATTCGCCGCCCGCGAAGGAGGGAAGGGGGGCACGGCCGGGCTGGGCTAGGACGAGGATCATTCCGTTTCAGAGCGTTCCATAACGCTCCGAGAAGGCCGCGGCGCCCGAGACATCCTCCAGAGCCGCGGGTATGCCTCCTCCTCCGCTTCCTCCTCCTCCTCGCACAATCAGCTTGACCTCCAGAGGCACGGATGCTTATCCGTGCCCGCGCTCCGCCCCCTCGCAGAGCTCTGGCGCGGGCGGGGGCATCGACCAGATGGCGATCGCCTAAGGGGAGGGAGGGGGGCGGGTTCAGGGCCTAAGCGGGAGGGGGGGAAGTGCCGATGGAGAGGAATGGGGGAGGGCGAAGGGCGAAGGAGGGAGAGTGAGGAGGAGGAGGAGGAGGAGGAGGAGGAGGAGGAGGAGGATCAGGAGGAGGAGAAGGAGGAGGAGGAGGAGGACCAGTGTAAGTGTAATGGGGGGGGGGGAGTGCCGATGGAGGAGGAGGGGGTAGGGCAAAGGGGGGGAGGGAGGAAGATGAGCAGGATGAGGAGGAGGAGAGGAGGAGAGGACCAGTGTAAACTCAAGATGCACCAACGATCTTGCAATAAACCCTAGGCCCCAGTCCACAGCCGTGATTGGTAAGCGCTAGCAGCTAGAGACACACTGCCGCATAGAGTTGGACGAACTGCGTCGGCGCGCCTTCGAAGCCAAGCCCGCGGGCGTTCTCTAGCCGCGCTCCAGCGCCAGCGCCGCATTGGCGGGTTACGCCCACCAGCGCCTACTCACCAAAGAGTGCCAGGGGCGAGCTGCTACGCCAGCAGTGTACAGGATGCAGAGCCAGCGGGCGAACCTGGCTGGAAGGCGCGACCAGTGTCGCGGCGTGAGCGCACGTAGGGCACGATCTGTGCCGGGCCCCCACGAGCAGTGCTCTGCTCCAGGCAACATCGGCCGGTCGACACCACAGCGGGTAAGGGGCTTGTCCCTAGGCTCTCTTTGCTGTGCTCCACACGTTACGATCCAGTAACCCTGGTCATGGTCAGCTCATCTCACGTATGTTCCAACCACAGATCAGCCAACAGGGCTTTCCAGGGTTCACGACGTTCCGTTCGGGCTGAGGTTTCTGAGCCATGGGTGACCTGTGCTTTGCGTCCACTGCTGATGCATCGCAGTGAAGGCTCTGGCACCCCATTGAAGGCTCCGGAAGGACACTCCTCCATTGCCTGGAGACCCCGACTCGAATAGGAGCATGCAGCGTGCTTGCGCGCCCGCTGTTATTTTGGCTTACATCGTGCACGCGACATACCATATATCGAAAGGAAAGAACTTACGTACGTTCTGATATCTCTCATGCTACTACTGCCGCCGTGTCTTCTTCTTTTCACCCCGGCCACCCGCAATTCCAGTGCCTCCTCCTGTTCCTTCTCCTCCTCCCCATCCGTTCTTGCTGTCTCCTCGCCGCTTTCGTCCTCCACCCCAATCGGTTCGCCGTGGACATAAAGACCATCATCTCGGATTCTCAGAGGCCGCTGGTCCGTCCAGCCCCCGTCGAGGTATGCATGCGTTCACCGCGCGTATTGTGAGGGGGATGAGTCTCTGATGATGCAACTCTCAGATGTTCATCAGGAGGCCCCGTTCCTCCCTCCATCCTCCTCGTCCCCCCTCCCCTCGTTGCTCTTTCCCCCCGTCTTTCCCTTTCCCATCCGAGGGTGCCCCCTCGCGCGGGACCGTCGCAGGACCAGGCTTGGCTCGGCTGGTATGACAGGAAACGCGCCTGGTTGCGCGAAGACCTCGACCTGGCAGAGGACCCCCGCCCGGGGCTGGCTCCGTCCAGCCCGCCCATCGGGAAAGGAGGAAGGTGAAGAGGATGAGAGAGGAGGGGATAACGAGTAGGAGGAGGAGGAGGAGGAGGAGGAGGAGGAGGAGGAGGAGGAGGAGGAAGATGGGAAGGCCGACGACGAGGAAGATGACGAGAATGTTGGGGGGAGGAGGAGGAGGAGGAGGAGGAGGAGGAGGAGGAGGAGGAGGAGGAGGAGGAGGAGGAGGAGGAGGAGGAGGGGGGAGGGAGGAGGGAGGAGGAGGAGGGGGAGGAGGAGGAGGAGGGGGAGGGGAGGAGGAGGAGGGGGAGGAGGAGGAGGAGGAGGAGGAGGAGGAGGAGGAGGAGAAGGAGAAGGAGGAGGACGATGGCGAGGACGAGGATGATGACGAGGTGGAGGAGGAGGAGGAGGAAGAAGAGGAGGAAGAGGAAGAAGAGGAAGATGAAGAGTAGGAAGGACGATGACGAGGGCGATGAAGATCAATTTTTCTGACGTGGAGTCGTGCCCGCCCCTTCCTCGCAAATGCAAGCCGAACCGGGATTCCAACCCGTACCAAACAGTGGGCTGGTGGTGCCCACAGCGAGGCGCAGCAAGCTGCAGGAGGAGTTGCAGGACCTCTTCAGCGGCCTGTTTCTGCGACACCACGGCCTCCAGGACAATAGCTACAGCAGGTCACAGCACGTTGGCCATAGCCCGCAGCATGCCGGACAGCGCAAAGCAGAGTTGGATCAGGGCCAAGGGGGAGCCAGAGCGCTCGGAGTTGGAGGTGAAGAAGTGAACCGATGAGGTCGAGACGGCCCGCGCTTCCCTTCCCCGGGAAAGGCCGCGAATTCCAGGGAAGCTTCCCTGGACTTCGTGTCCCTCGGCAGCCCGCTCGACGGCTCACAATTACATCACATACGTAGCACCCCGCAGTTGCGGATAAGAGTGAGGGGGTGGCGGGGACGTCGGCAGTCTGCGAGGCTCTGAAGAAACCCGCCGCGGGCGGCGAATTTTCACAAAATAAAGCAACGATCCCGCCGCAGGCGTCAACTTGTCCGTTAAATCAATGTGGGTGGATCGCGGGTGGGTCGCGCTTGTGTCGTGGAGTGGGTCGCGGGTGGGTCGCGGGTGGGTTGCCGGTGGGCCGCGGGCCGGGTCGCGGGGTGGACGACAACGACATCGCAATGCAACAGCGACATGAACAGTCATTTTAAGATTGTTCGTTCTTACCTGCTCGCGTGCCATTCAACACGTACATCACAAACTCTCGCTGCCCACCCTATTCGTCTTCGATCGTGCCCCCTTGGGGGAATATCTTCCTTACCGGCCGTGTGTGATTGGCGCAGCTTCTGAAACAGGGGAAAGGAGGACGGATGGAAGGAGGAGGGAAAAGGATGGAACACGGGATTGGCAGGATGGGGGCTAGGAGCAGAAAACACGTGGCAGAACCAGGCGGGTAAACCCCAATGGGCGGGTCGGGAAGGCGGGCCCAGGCCGCCAGGTCAAACAGGCGGATTGCTGAAGCGTGCGTCCTGCATGAATCGCGAGGAAGATTGAGCTGTTTACGCGGTTCCTTCGTCTGGAAATCCACAGCGACAGCGTCATTCCTGAGTGCCGACGGCGCGGCGTCTGAGTAAATTGCGACGAAAGCTCACGGGAGAGCGCGATTCCTGTGTGAATTGTGAGGACGTTGCGCGCGACAGCGCGATTCGGGAATACATAGTGAGGAAGTCTCAGGCCGGAGCCGCTCTTGTTGTAGACCGGGGGCCAGGGTCGCCGTTAGGTGACCCGTCATTTTCCCTTGTAACAAACAGGGTGCGAGTCCTGAGATAAACACTTCAATGGAATAAATGCAATGGTTACGGGGTGGGTCAGCAATATTCATTCTTTCAACATGAGAATTCCACAGCAACAACAAAAACAGCATTTTGAAAATTGTTCGATCTGACCTGCTTGCACGCCAGTCAGCACGCATATTCCAAACCCTCGGTGCCCGCCCTATTCGTCTTCGATCGTACCCCATTGAGGGTATTTATCTGTCGTACCTGCAGCGTGCATTTCGGGCAGCCCCACGGATGGAAGGAAGGGACAAAGGGGGAGGAAGGAGGATGAAGCACGAAAGAGAGTAGCAGGAGGGGGGACTAGGAGCAGAACTGACGTGGACGTCCCGCGCGACGCGCGAGGAAGCATCAGGCGGGAACCGTTGTTGGTGTAGTTCGGGGCCAAAACATGCACTTTGGTGAGGTTTTCCTTAGCAATAAGCCAGGGTGCGAGCCACGGGAAAAGCAGCTGAACTGAGCAAATGCAATGGTTGCCCCGTGGAAAAAACAACGGTAATGATTCAACAACAGCAGTTATTGTAATACTGCTCGCTCTTACCTGCAAGCGTGCCATCCAACCCGTACATCCCCAAACCACGGTACCCGCCTTCTTCGTTTTCGATCGTGTTCCTTCTGGGGGTATCTCTCCCTTACCTGCCGGGCGTAGTTCGTGCAGCCCCGGAAGGGAAGACGGAAGAGAGGGGGAAGGAAAGAAATGGATCAGGCGATTTACATGAGGGGGCCAGGAGCAGAAAACACGTGGCAGAACCAGACAGACCTGTCGGGCGGGTATACGCTGATGGGCGGGTCGGGAAGACGGGCCCGGACGGCCAGGTCGAGAAGGCGTGTTGCTGAAGCGTGCGTACTTCATGAATCGCGAGGAAAACGCGATTCCCAAGTAAATCATGAGAGGCAAGAGCGAGAGCGTGATTCCTGAGTGTCGAAGGCGCGGCGCCTGAATACATTGCGATGAATTCCCACGCGAGAGTGAGATTCCTGCATCAATTTTAACAAAGTCCCGCGCGAGAGCGCGACTTGGGAATACATGGATGGCGAAGAATCAGGCGGGAAGCGCCGTGGCTGTAAACGGGGAGCCAGGGGCACAGTTTGGTGACCTTTCTTGTTCTTATATATGTATGCATATATATATATGTGCATATATATATATATACATATACATACAAGCATGGTGCGAGCCCCGGGATGGTCATTTCAGTTGACAAGTGCAATGGTCACCTGAGGGGGGATCAATCATAGTTCTTCTTTCGGTGCCCGCCTTTTTCGTCTTCGATCGCTCCCCTTAGGGGTATATATTTGTTCCCTGCAGCGTGTATTTCGTGTTGCCCCTAAGGCCGGGGAGAGAGGACGGATTGAAGGGGGAGGGAGGAGGATGGAACACGAGAGGGAGAGCGAGCAGCAGGAGGGTTATGATCAGACAACACATGGCAAAACCAGACGGGCAGATCGGGCGGGCAGACCCTAACGAGCGGGTCGGGAAAGCGGGCCAAGCCGGCCAGGTCGAGCAGGAGGGTTGTTGAAGCGTGCGTTTTGCATGATTCGCGAAGGAGTCTCGAGCGACAGCGCGATCCCCCAGTAAATTGCGAGGAAGTCCACAGTGAGAGCGCGATTCCTGAGTGTCGAGGGCGCGGCGTCTGAACAGCTTGTGAGGAAGTCCCACGCGAGAGTACAATTTCTGTATCAATTGTGAGGACGCCCCGCGCCAGAGCGCGATTTGGGAATACATTGTGAGGAGGTATTGGGCGGGAGTCGCTCTTTTTGTAAACCGGGCGCTAAAACCCAACTATGAAACCTAAGACCTTCCCTGGTAAGAAAACAGGGTGCGAGCTTCGGGAAGGGCATTTCATTTGACACAAAAACCATGTGCCCTGGAGGGGGATCAACAATAGTTATCTTTCGCAAGCGAGAGTTCAAAAACAAATATATCAACAGCGACAACAACAATACCAATCATTGTAATGTTGTTCGTTCTTATCTGCTGGCATGCTGTTCAACACCTATATCCCAAACCTTCGGTACCCGCCGTCTTCGTCTTCGATCGTGCCCCCTTGCGGGTCCATTTTTCGCATGAGACGTGTATTTCGTGCAGCCGTTAAGGCAGGGGAATGGAGGACGGATGGAAGGACGGGACACGGGGCAGGCGGGTTGCTGAAGCGTGCGTCTTGCATGGGTGGCGAGGAAATCTCGAGCGATGAGGAAATCCACTAAGAGAGCGTGATCTCTAAATGTCGAGGGCGCGGCGTTTGAATAATTTGCGAAACAAGGCCCACGCGAGAGCGCCATTCTTGTATACATTGTACACAAGTCCCGCGCGAGAGTGCGACAGGGGGGATCCGCTGTTGTTGTAAAGCGGGGCCACCAATGGAGTTTAGTGACCCTTCCCTTCCCCCTGTTAAAAACAGCTGGGTGGCGGTTGTGACGCCGCTTGCCGTCTTCATCCTCTATCCTCTCTCGTGGGTGGCGGCCGTTACGCTATACTCCGCCTTTCCGTCCTCCTTCCTCTTTCTTGGGTATCGGCCGTCACGATATGTTCGTCATCCTCCACATCATTCCTCCTGCTTGTCCTCCTTCCCCTCTCCCCTCCCCTGCTACACTCCGGCCCGAGTCTCGCAGAATGCCCGCTGAATCGCTGGCATTTTTCCCAGGAGGCGTTTCGCTTTTACGAACGCGGCGCCGTGGCGCGCAGCACTTCTGGCGCGTCGTTTCAGCGCCAGGTCGGCGCCGAATTTAAGGGGGCAGGGCAATGGCAGCAGGTTCATATCAGCCTGTGCGTGAGCACGGGTGGGGTCCAAGGGATGGGGAGGAATGGCTGCGCTTCGGCGGCACAGGAGGGGAGGATCTGTGCCGCTGCCTGTCCGAAGCGCGCCAGGAGCACACAAGGTTGTTGCAGGAGGAACTGGCAGCGCTGACCGCGCTGGGGAGCCAGTTGGAGGGGCGCTGGCGCGCGAGAGGAGGAGGATGAGGAGGAAGAGGAGGAGGAGGAGGAGGAGGAGGAGGAGGAGGAGGAGGGATGGAGGAGGAGGGATGGAGGAGGAGGAGGGATGGAGGAGGAGAAGGACGATGAGGAGGAGGAGGAGGAGGAGGAGGAGGAGGCGGAGGAGGAGGAGGAGGAGGAGGAGGTGGGCGCCGACCGAACGCGTCGATAGCCGAGACTAACAACGACGGGCTATGGCAGGAGGGTGCATGATATGGAGGACCTGTGAGGCGGGACAGCAGCCACATTGTGAGCGCGTCCGCCACGATCCCTCATCATCAATCCAGGGAACACCCTGCAGATGGGTGCAAGCCCGCAAAGGCTCTGCTCAGCTTCCTTTTCTGCTTGTCCTGAGTGGAAGGGACAAGGTGCCTGATTGGAAAGGTGCCACAGGATGCGAGGATGCAGCTCAGTTGGCCCAGCAGCGGTCCTGATCGAATCCGACGAAATCACAGCACGAACCTCCTTGGCCCCGACATGTGGTAAGGCTGGCCACTGCTCGGCATCGGGAGGTCAGGGAACAGGAAGGCGCCCATGCTGGTTCCATATCATGCTCCACTCCTGCAAGCCACTGTTGATCAACGCGCGCGGCTGCATGCCATCGCGAAGGCGCACCGTTGGATGCCTTGTGCGCCGCCGAAGCGCCCCCCAGGAAGGCCTCTGTGGTCCAAGTGGCCCAGGCCTTGGAGGCGGCTGCGGCGTCTTCCTTGGCATGCAGGGTCGCCTCCCCCTTGGCACCCTCGTTGAGGCTCTCGAAGGACGGAGAAGCAGATAACGCAGAACATCAAAAGCAGACTCGAGGAAGGCAACGAGCTGCGGCGGCAAATTCCTAAGTGTGACCCGACTGCGCAACACAATGGCCAGGTACGAGCTCACTTCGAACAGCGCCTTTAGATTGTTGGAGCACTGCATGGGTGTGAAACTCGGGCACGCGTGGGCCATCTGGGAGCGCATGATGAGCTCCCGCAGCCTGGTGCGCTCCCTGCCGATGTGGCCCATCCACTTGGCCGCCGTGCGCCAAGCCAGCGTGATGTGCCTCTTGGCGATGCGCTTGCAAGGGGTGCTTCCATGCCACCTGCCTCCAGACAGACTGAGGCGACCCAGCGCGCCCGTTGTAGGCCAGCGCCTTGGGGCCCACTAGGTCGTGCCTCTTAGTGAGCTCCGCCTTGATGCCGTCAATAACGTAGCCCCGAGCCATGGCAAGGTCCTCGGCGTCCGAAGCCCGTACATGACATCCGAATCCCAATCCATAAGTACCTGACGAGGGAACGCTCGGGGTAGCTCGGCACAAGCCGCCACAACGGGATATCATGAGCCTGCATCCGCACCTCCACGGGAGCGTGAGGATAGAGATCGGTTCCTCGTCGATCCCGACGTCGTAATGGAGAAGGCGACGAGGTTGAGCGAGGCGACAAAATAGTCAAGGGCCGGGCCTGGGGTCGACTGCCTGCAGGTTGGTAGCGCTGGGATGAAACGTTGCAGCGCCAACGGACTTGACCCAGGGATCCGCGAGGGCGACGCGGGGCTCGTTGTTCCAATCACCACCAACCAATCCAGTCGTGCCCTCTGCCATTCAGCTTGCACAGGGCCTGCGTCATGCTCCAGATGTGGGCCGCGTTGACGGGCCCCATGCCGTCCTGGTCTAGGTGCAGGCTGCCGACCACGAGTGGGCGTGGGCGAAGAACAGCCGTCCAGGGATTACCAGCGCGTCGTCCAGCTCGGGCGCGGAGATCATGATGTTGGTGTGGACAGGAATCGCCACGCCCCCCACGGAGCCACTCTCGGACTTCTCGCTGAGGAGCGCCGGGGCCCAGTGGCCGTGCCATCGCAAGTCCCGCGCCCGCCTTTTAGCCTGCTGGAGCCTCTTCTCGATCAGGTGGTGCTCCTGCGCGATGAGGACCTGCGCCGAGGCCGTGGGAAGGTAATCGAACAGGCAGCCGTGAGATGTGACATTTAGCAGTGGCGATGACGCTCTTGGAGCCAGCCGTGCGGGGCGCAGAAGCGGCACCAGCAGCCGACAAACTTCCCGAGGCCGCCAGGGCACCAGGAGAAGCCGAAATCGCACCACCGGAATCCCAGGGGGCAGGGCAGGCCACCGGCGCCGATGAGCACGTGGCCGCCGAACCCGAAGCACCCGCAGCCGACGTAGAGCACGCGTGCAGACAGCGGCCAGACGCCGCAGTGGGCGCCCCGCGATCCCAACGCACACCACGGTCAGGACGCCCATGCGTGCCACCAGGGGGACGTGCATCCTGAGACTCCTCCGGCCCAAGATCATCAAACGGGTCGTGGACCCCAGACAGGTCCGGAATGGAAAGCGGCGCCGCCGATCCCGCGGAGGGCGCAAGGCCCGAGCCCAAGTGGGGCTCACCCGCAGGAGGCGCGCGCGCCTGAGAAATGCACAGCGCAAAGGGCAGGACCAGGAGCAGCCACGCGGAGCTACCCCTACTCCAGATCTCGTAATAAAAGGGAAGGGGTCTGGACCCTCCAAGACAAGCCATTTCAGACCCCCCCCCGTGGGAGAACCCTCCAAAACATCGTCCACAGACCCCCCCAGGCCCTCCAAGATAGTCTGGAAGAGACCCCCCCCGAAATGAGACCCCCCTCCCTTTATTACGAAATCTGGAGTACCTCTTCTTGCCTTTGCCCAACTTGCTGCAAGCATAGTTCGGAGAGTTCTTGGCCAGTCCCCAGGTGCGTGATGACCGTCGAGCACCGCGTCAGTCGCCGTCGCAGATTCGACGGGAATCTTACTCCGCAGCAGCTCGAGGCTCGAGGTGTTCGCGTTCCAGCTCCATCTTGGCCGCGCACTTGGCATGGATCTGCGCGCGCATGCCCTTGAGGAGCTCCTGCTTCTGCTTGATGATCAGCTCTTCGACCTCGACCGCCGACTCGAGCTTCTTGATAGCCTTGTCCATGGCCGTGATCCGATTGACGAACCCGTGGGCCTGGGAGGCGAGGGGCTTGGCCGCCTGGAGCTCGGTCCGTAGTACTTTGTCTCGCTCGGCGTGCGCGTCGTATCCCTGCAGTGTGTTCGGCTCGACTCCCACGGACTTCGCGCTGGCGGCCATGGTGGCCAGCAACGCGTCCAGGGCCTTGAGCTCGACCGTGCGCTTGTCTGGGGCCTTGGCCTGGAGCTTGGACTCGAGACTCTGGAGGCGCTTCTGCAACGCTGCGAGATCCTTATCCTTGGCAGCCGTCGCACCGGCCACGGAGGACTTGGGCTTGGGCAGCGAAGGGTGGGTGAAGTAGCGGAGGAGGCACTTGCTTTTCGCACAGCCACACAGATGGCAAGACACAGCATCAGGGCGACTGTGCCATGGTTTGCCAGTGACCTCCGACGTGCACGACTTGCAGCACCAGTGTCGGGTGGCGACATCTCGGCGCCTGGGTGGCAACATGCAGCCGTCGTGTCGGGTGGGGAAGTGTTGCAGCCAGCCGCGTATGGATGATGGCCCTTGTCCACGGTGCCACTTCGAAGACGTTGGACACAAGCGCGAGTTTGCCAAAAAGAACCTCGCGCCGAAATGGCAGGAGGAGGAGGTGGAGGAAGAGGTAGGTACTCTCCGGCCCACTGGTTTAAGTCTGCCCAGTGCAAGAAGAGGAGGACGATGAAGACGAGGCAAATGATGATGATGATGATAATGATGATCCTGATGATGATGATGACGACGACAATGATGATGATGATGATGATGATGATGATGATGATTATGATGATGATGATGATGATGATGATGATGATGATGATGATGATGATGATGATGATGATGGTGATGGTGATGGTGATGATGATGATGATGGTGATGATGATGATGGTGATGATGCTGATGCTGATGCTGATGATGATGATGATGATGGTGATGCTCATGATTATGATGATGATGATGATGATGATGATGATGATGATGATGATGATGATGATGATGATGATCATCATGCGGATGATGATGCTGATGATGATGATTCATGCTGATGATGATGGTGGTGGTGGTGATGATGGTGATGCTGATGCTGATGCTGATGCTGATGATGATGATGATGATGATGCTGATGATGATGCTGATGATGATGATGATGATGATGATGATGATGATGATGATGATGATGACGAGGAGGAGGAGGAGGAAAAGAAGCAGGAGGAGGATGAAGAGGGGGAGGAGGAGGAGGAGGGAGGAGGAGGGAGGAGGAGGAGGAGGAGGAGGAGGAGGAGGAGGAGGAGGAGGAGGGAGGAGGAGGAGGAGGAGGAGAGGAGGACAAGGACGAGGAGCGAGAGGAGGATGAGGAGGAGGAGGAGGAACCACAGCAGGTTGAGGGAAGGGAGGAGCATGAGGAGAAGAACAAGGGACAGGGTACAGTGGGTACCAATGCCAAGAAACACCCTGCTGCCCGGGGTGTTTGGGGTTTCGATGGTTTTGCCGTGGAAGGCGTGACGTTCCCCCACCAAAAATCAATGGACGTCCTGGGGTCTCAGGGCTGTGTTCTTTGTTGAAGGTTTCTCGTGGACTGGCCTCCACTGTAAACCCAAGATGCATGAACAATGCTGCAACACATCTTCCAGTCCCAAGTCTTCTGTCCTTACAAGTCAGAGTGAGGGGGCCGAACGGTCATTCACTGTCCCTGGGCGCGTCGCTGAAGTGGGACTCCGCGGCGCGGATTCTGATTATCGTTGTTCCCTCAGGACGGTGTGGTTCCTCGCCGCGACAGCCCCCATCCCGACAAAACCACGCCTCCCGCTCGAGGCGCCCTCCCTTCTTATTCAAGGCGGTGCTCCTCCTCGCCGCCGACAAGCCGTCCCAACAAAACTAGCGCTCCCGCTCGAGACTTCGTTCTGTTTTACGCTGGACTAGCGCCCTACTCTCTTCAGCAGTGGCGCCGCTCCCAGCAACAACAGCGGCCCTGCTCGAGACTTCCTCCTTTTCTATTCAGGGCCAGGTCCTTGCCTCGCCGCCGACAGCCCCCATCCCCACCAAGGCAATCCTTGTGCGTTACCCTTGGCTGGGGCTCCACTGGCGGTCTCGCATCGGCGCAGCAAGGCGCGGGCATGTGTTTTCGAGGTGGGATATATTGAAATTCCTCGGAGGAGGTGCTTGCAAGACCTCATTGGGCGGGAGATCTGGGAATGGGAGTAACCGACCCCGCTATAGAACAATCATCCCCCGTGATGGGGATGGTTATCACGATGGTCGCATGCTTCGTGTGGAGACATCGCGCATACGGGTAAGATCGTTGTTGTTGTTGCTGTTGTTGTTGGTCGTTGCTGCTGCTGTTGTTGTTGTACTTGTTGGTGTTGTTGTGGTTGTTGTTGGTGCTGTTGTTGAGTTCTCACCTCAGAAGAATAATTATTGTTGACCCCCCCCTCCGGTGACCATTGTGCTTTTAATTGAAGTGCTTCCTCTGGGGCTCGCACCCTGTTTCTTTATCAGGGAAAGTCACGGTGCTCAAACTGGTGTGTTGGCCCCCGGACTACATTAACAACGGCTCCCGCTTAACACTTCCTCAATTTAGCCAGGACCCCCGCTCCCGCCTGAGACTTGTCGCATGTTGCTCAGGAATCGCGCTTTCGCTTGGGAGTTCCTTCGAGTTTATGAAGGGATTGCTCTCTCGGCGCTCTGGAGTCGCGCTTTCGCTGGAGACATTGCTTGCAATTTACTAATGAATCGCGCTCTTGCTTTGGGATTCCCAGCGATTTACTCAAGCGCTGCGCTCCCGACACCCAGGCACCCAGGAGTCGCGCTCACTCTTAGGACCCCCTCGCAGCTTATTCAGGAATCGGGCGGGATCTCACTGCCCTTCGTGCCCCGTTGCAGCCCTTCGTGGCCCCTCGCTGCCCTTCGTGGTCCCCTCGCTGCCCTTCGTGGCCCCCTCGCTGCCCTTTCGTGGCCCTGTTGCAGCCCTTCGTTGTCCCCTCGCTGTCCTCCGTGGTCCCGTTGCAGCACTTCGTTGCCCCCTCGCTGCCCTTCCTGGCCCCGTTGCAGCACTTCATGGCCCCTTCGTGGCCCCGTTACAGCCCTTCGTGGCCCACTCGCTGCCATTCGTGGCCCCGTTGCATCCCTTCGTGACCCCCTCGCTGCCCTTCGTGGTCCCGTTGTACTCCTTCGTGGCCCCCTCGTTGCCCTTCGTGGTCACGTTGCACCCCTTCGTGGCCCCCTCGCTGCCCTTCCTGGCCCCGTTGCAGCCCTTCAGGCCCCCCTCGCTGCCCTTCGTGGCCCCATTCATCTATGCTCTTCGTGGCCTCCGCTTGTTCGCGCCCATCGTGGCCCCATATGCATGCGTTTCGTGGCCCCGCTGTCGCCCTTCGTGGCCCCCTCGCTGCCCTTCGTCGCCCCGTTGCTGCCCTCAGCGGCCCCGTCCTCGCCCTCTGCGGCTCAATATACATCTGCCCTTCGTGGCCCCCGCTTGTTCGCGCCCTCCGTGGCCCCATAAGCAAGCCCTTCGTGGCCCTTCTGTCGCCCTTTGTGGCCCCTTCGCTGCCCTACGTGGCCCCGTTGCTACCCTCAGTTGCCCCCTCGTTGCCCTCTGTGGCCCCGCACTATCTTCCCTTCGTGGCCCCCGCTTGTTCGCGCCCTTCGTGGCCCCATACGCATGCCCTTCGTGGCCCCGTTGTCGCCTTCGCTCGAGACTTCTTCGCGATTCATGCAGGACCCACGCTTCAGCAACCCGCCTGCTCGACCTCGTCGCTTGGGCCCGCCTTCCCGACCTGCCCGCCATGGGTCTGCCCACCCGATCTGCCCGTCTGGTTCTACCACTTGTTTTCTGCTCCCTGCCCCCCTCCCGCGAATTTCTCTCGTGTTCCATTATTCTCCCTCCCCCTTCCACCCGTCCTCTCTTCCCTCGTTTTAGGGGCTGCACTAAATACACGTGGCGGGCACGGAAGATATACCACTTAGGGGGTACGATCGAAGACGACGAGGGCGGGTACCGAGGGTTTGAGATATACATATTGATGAGCACGTGAGCAGATAGGAGCGAACAGTTTGTTGTTGTTGTCTCCCCTGCGACCCGGCCCGCGACCCACCCGCGACCCGGCCGCGCCCGGCCGCGACCCACCCGCGACCCACCTGCGACCCACCCGCGACCCACACGGCCCACCTTGCGACCCATCCGCGATCCGGCCGCGACCCGCCCCGCGATCCACCCGCGACTCACCCGCGACTCACCCGCAACCCCCCCGCGACCCCCTCGGCGACCCACCCACGTGCGCTTGAACGAAATAGCGCCTGCGGCGGGCTCGCTGTAGAACGTGTTAGAATTAGGCGCCTGCGGCGGGCCTCTTCGGAGCCTCGCAGACTGCCACCGTCCCAGCACCCCCCTCACTCTTATCCACAACTGCGGGGTGCTACGTATTTCCTTTCCACTGCAGGAAGCGCCCCCTTGACAGGCGAACGACCACTGGGCATGCAGCTCAGGCCAGACCCCATTTTGCAACAGGATCAACTCCCATCCATCCCTCTGTCAGGCATGCAAACAGCAGCCGTAATGTTCAAGGATTGTTCCAGCGCTGGCTCCAGATTGAAAAGGGTGTGCCATCGTAGGGAATAAAGCGTTGCGCAATTTCCAAGTTTGGTCACCAAATCCTAGGAATTTAAAAGCGACAGCCCCTTTCAACAAGAAGCCGCCTTCCATCTGTGAAACCGTTTTACAGTGTTGAACGCGGGCGGGCCATACAAGTAGAGGAGGTCTCAAGCCGGAATCCCATCATGAGAACGAGCCGCCCTATATCCGCGTAAGTTCTGCAACGTCTTCAAAGGAATGTGTGCGGCGCGGAGGCGAAAACCCCGCCTTGAAAACAAACCGCCTCCCATTCGCGTCACTTTGTTTTCAAGACGAGAGTGCGTGGCGCGGCGCGGCGCTCGTGCCAGGATTGGTAACTGCTCTGAAGTGCCCTGCCTGCCGTTGCGGCCACTCTGCGGTCGGGTGCCTGCGAGAAGTGCCGCCCCTGGGGAGTCGGTGGTCACAGGCATTTTGCAGTACGTTCTATAGCTGGCAAAGACGTCGCAATCGTATTGCCGAATGTGCCTTCGATTATTTGTGAGGTGCACGAAAAACTCTGAATCATCGCAGCTGCTGGCAACCGCATATTTGCCCTACCACAAGTGCTTGATTATGGCATTGGCAGGCTTCAAAATAGCCTTCACGTGTTCCGATCTCCCTAGCGAAGGGCAGTGTGCCTTTCAAATGTTGGCACCTGACAGCTCTCTTCGGCATGGGTGATAATGTTAGCCTGCCGACAGATACCTTGGGGTTACGTGCAAGACTTGTGCAAGGGTTCTGCCTTCGTGTCGGGATGCAGTGGACATTATTGCATGTCCATGGCACGCACGACTTGGTTGCTCTTAGTTCTTTCCGAATATTGCATTGGGTCTCTCGTTCACGCGGGTGGGGAGGCAAGTGTTAGATCGATGTTGCCAGTCCGTCGTTGGCAGAACAATTGTCAGCGTTCCCGACTTCGGCGCTCCGTAAGTCGGATCATTTACCACTTCGTTTCAGAGCAGTTCTCGATACGGAACAGTCTTATCATCCTGATTTTCGTAAGTTGCATTCGATTCGGAACATAGACAGTTTTGTGAGAGTACAGTTTTGGTACAGTGGAGACCCATGCCAAGAAACACCCTGCTTGCCTCCAGGGTGCCCTGGGTTTCTTGGGTTTCGATGGTTTTGCTGTGGAGAGCGCGACGCTCCCACACCAAAAAACGATGGACGTCCTGGGGTCTCAGGGTTGGGGGTTTCTTGGGGAAGGTATCTTGTCGACTGGCCTCCATTGTATGACGTTTCGGCGCAGTGTGCTGAAGACATGAGCTTGTCGGACTTCGTACCGTCCGACCAGGGCGCCACTGCACAGAGTGCAGGAAGAACTGCTACGACTGAGCGGGATGAGGACGATACCGACGTTGAGCGATCAGCAGGCGACAAGAAAGGAAGGCGAACGCAAAGATCTTCTTCTGGCCAGGTGAAGCCTAGCGCTACAAGACCTCACCGTGGCAAGCGTGGCGCGAGTAGGGACATCCCCGCATGCATGTTTCAGCGCAGTACAGCTTTGGAGTTCCAGCCATTAGTAGCCATGAGTATTGATGGCCAGAACTCCACAGGCAGAGGCACGTTGGCGGGGACACTCACCCAGCTTGGTGAACATGAGCAAGTCTGTTGGCGCTGCGGAAGGCATCGCCGGACTCGGAACCGCTGCGCGAACGCCTTGGACAATGACGTCGTCGGAGCTCCGTCATCATCTGCTGGTTGCGCCGTGACTCTCTCTTGCGCCTCTCCTTGACTTCCAGCGCCTGGCCCAGACGACATCCCCGCGGGCCGGGCGCGGGCAGGACGGCGTGGCGAGGGGCGTCGCCGCGGCGCTCCAGCAGCAGCGCGGCCGCGGCGACATCGACCGGGGCGCCTGGAGGCTCCACGACATCGAGGGCGAG